TAGGGAGTGTGTGTATAGTAGCGGGGCAGGGAGTGTGTGTATAGTAGCGGGGTAGGGAGTGTGTGTATAGTAGCGGGGTAGGGAGTGTGTGTATAGTAGCGGGGTAGGGAGTGTGTGTATAGTAGCGGGGTAGGGAGTGTGTGTATAGTAGCGGGGTGAAGAATGACCTGCTTCGATGACAGACGAGAATTGCTCGCTAAGACCATATAACCTATGGCTCTCATCTCGGTGAAATCACTTTCGGCAATTTTCTACGGTGGTGGGTGGGTGGGGATGGGCGTGGCAGGTCTATAGGGTTAAAACCTAGAGAACATTTTTTGTTACCGCATAAATGGGCCGTAGAGATGCGCAAGCCAAATTAGACCCTTGTCTAAGAAGCGTGAATAATGGATTGCCTAGCTGCGCGTTACACGTGCATTTACACGTGCTGCGCCGACAGTGAAATTGGGTGTAAAATGCAGGCGGTTTGCCTGAGCAGTCGCCGTCTGACCGCATGGGTGCGTTGCGTATGTAAGTGTGACAGATAGCCACGGGGCGTTGGCTGTTAATGCTGATGACGGGTTGTTACACAATGCCACCATACGCGTTCTCGCGTTCGAGGGAAAATATCCATTTAATTATTATACAAATCTATTGATTTTGCAATTTTGAGAATATCGGGTCATCACGGCATTTAACAGCTTCTATGATTCGTGGTCAATTAATGCATTTCACATAATTTTGAATAATTGCCGTTTCTACACAATTTCCCTTTAAATTATATGACATATCATCCGCTTACAAGAAACGGTGTTCTACAATTGTACATACTGCGCGTGTTCAGCCATGTATTGGTGAATTATTTCAGCCATAGCTTTAGTGTGGTGTGGTGTGGTGCGGTGCGGCGCGACGTGGCGCGGCGTGGCGCAGCGTGGTGTGGTGCGGTGCGGTGTGGGAATTTTGGCACCGACCGAGACATAGCCCGACTCGATTTTGAGTCTAACCGTACAATGTCGTGCATTACATGACCGTTAACGGACCGTTTCTTGCAGCTAAAGGCCGATGCGCGTCTCGCTTGTATCAATTGACTCTCGCATCATTCATAGAATACTGCGCTGAACGCGAACAGATGTGTTGACTGTGCGGACCATAAGGCAGGCCTGCTGCTGGCAGCTGCATTCTGCGCGTCTCTGTGATATAGAGGCAACCGGGCAGCTGATAATTGCGCCTAACGAATACTCGTGTATTTTCCGTTAAAGCTGCACGCTCCGTGTCAATGCGTCCGGACCGCTGACTCCACGTCCCCTAGCTGTGATGTCTCCCTGCCCTGTAAAACGCTGAGTGGACGCGTCTGCGCTGTAACTGACCCCGACGAGGTGGTAGGGGAAGAAGGAGGGACAGAGAAGTGTGCTGAATCGCTTTGAACGTTCTGGCTGATTTTCCATTGGAAACCTTTCGCGTTCCGAAACGCAGCGAAATTTGTTTCACGTGATTTGTCACTCGAACGAGAGAGAGAGAGAGACCAGATGTCAGATGGCACGTTTCCGACTTTACTCCGACGTCTCCACCGGACCCGCAAAACGTAGAGCTTTTACGAAATACCATTAAAAGTGATTGCGACGGTCAAGAGCTCGTTCGTATGTGACTCAGGCTATCTCGTGATCAATAGGGAGGGAGACTGCAAATCTCTTAGATTTTCGCTTGCCGGCGCCGCTGCGGTGGCGCTAATGTCGTGGTCGTGTCTTGATCCATTGACTGCGTAACCTTTGATCCTCTTAAAGTAGGTATTCATCCTTTCCAAAGCGTGGCTAAACACCATTGTGCGAGCATACAACACTACTGTGTCTCTAAGGGTATGTGTAGTAGAGGAGGCCGACGGGCGAATGACCGAATGAGTGATGGATGCACTCACGAGAACACTGAGAAAAAAGAGACGAGTGGCTTAAATATTTACGAGAAAGCCGAAAACAACGTGGCGATCTTTAGCAGTGAGGATCTACAGCGGGTTGTAAACACTGGAACACTCGATACCGCCAGCTACGTCAATGCAACACCATAGATGACAGATGACACATTCTTAGAGAGTATCGTGTGCACGGATCACAGCGTATAGAATCACGAGTTATAGGTTCACCTATCATACACACACACACACACACACATACACACACACACACACACATATATATATATATTACCTCTACCCGCTTACTATATATATATATATATATATATATATGAGAGAGAGAACGAGAAGAAGAGAGAAGTAGATAGAGAGAGAGAGAGAGAGAGAGAGAGAGAGAGAGAGAGAGAGAGAGAGAGAGAGAGAGGAAAGAATGAGAGGAGGCGGTGGGGGAGGAGGCGAGAGTGAGAGAGAGAGGTGAGAGGATGGAGAGCAGAGAGAGAGAGAGCGAGAGAGAGAGAGAGCAGAAAGTAGAGAGAGAGAGGAGAGAGAGAGAGGAGAGAGAGAGAGAGCGGAGAAAAGTCTGCTTTTCGATCTATTTCAAGTTATTGCCGAGTTAAATAAAGTAATATTTTTAGCACGTAGGCGGCGGTTTCAGGGAGGCTTTGTATCTGCACACTGGGGGCCAGCAGGGGCGGCCAGCAAATCGATACGTTAAACATCACCTAACACTCGCGAGTATGACGCGGCCTTATGTATTTCTGCCATATAATACAGTTTTCATGTGTTTATAGGCGACAGTTGACGACGCTTGCCGGGTGAGCTGTGATCAAGTAACCTATTAAAATACGGCACTGCAATATCCCGCCTTCAGAACCTCGCCGGTTAATATGACATTTAATTTTCGCATTGCTTTCGCGCCGCCTAAACGTGTCATATATGGGATGGATTCGATTTAACATCTGTGTAACATAACAGGCGAAGCGGGAGCGCTGGTTGGTTAAACGTCGAAAAAAAGTCGTGCATGCAACAAAAACAGTCAAGCATCGCTTAGATGCAGCGAACGTTTGCCGAAATAGCGTTATGCGTTGTGCATGCGCGGGCGGAGTCTCTGTTGAATGGAGGGAGCATTCATGGTTTTGTTGGCCGCGAATTTGTTTGGGGTTAGTACGGTGGGTGGCGTGCAGCGGCGGTGATGTTGCCAGTGGGTGGTCGCCGGTAATTACCGGACGCGATGCTAGCGGCCTCACGCCGTTGCTGTCGCACGGTCGACCTGACCGAGATAAGCGACACGGACGACATTTAACGCGAGCTGGAAAGCTTGCGTGTTGCGTTTTCACAAACACCGCGACTTAGCTCGTTAGCCGGCGGGCCACGCACTTGCCGAAGGCGCCCGAGCCAGTACTACCGCCGCTCTTTTACTACGCCATCGTCACTTCATAGTCTGTGGCACGCAGCCAGCCGACACGTTGGATCGCGTCCTCTGCCCCATCTGCTTCTTCTCTCTCTCTCTCTCTCTCTCTCTCTCTCTCTCGTTTGCTCACTCTCTCTTTCTCACTCTCTCACACTCTCTCTCACAAACACTCTCTCTCTCTCTCTTTCTCTTTCTCTCTCTCTCTCTCTCTCTCTCTCTCTCTCTCTCTCTCTCTCTCTCTCTCTCTCTCTCTCTCTCGTTTGCTTACTCTCTCTCTCCCTCTCTCTCTCTGTCTCTCTCTCTCTCTTGCTCACTCTCTCTCTCTCTTTCTCTTGTTCTCCCCCCTCCCTCTCCCTTCCGCTGCCGTCTCCCTGACTGGGGCCACCCGCTGCTGCTGCGGCTGCTGCTGCCGCACCTGCGTGCTAGCGATGCGTCTGAACGCATGCTTCTCTCTATATATAAAAGCAGACGCTGTGATCGATAGCGGATAACTGTGGGAGCTAGGCGGCACGCACGGACGCTGCGCGCATGCAGCCGGCACTACTCCGCGCTGCGGCACGGTTTCATGTCGGTCAGGCAGCAGCGTGTGTGTGTGTGTGTGTACGTACGTACGCGCGCACATCCCAGCCTCACAGCCAGCCTGCTTCGCCGAGATGTTGGAAGCGAGTTGTGGTTTAAGTACTCGTGGCTGCTTTTCGTCTGAGCTGGTCGCCTCGCGTGGTGGCGCCGGGCTAGGCTCGTAAACGTATTTGGATTTTTGGATAACGTTTTTTTTGGATTCGCACGGGAGGAACATTACGATCGAGTGAGTGAGTGCCAATAGAGAAGGAGCGAACTGTGAAGGAGTTAGCGACGCCGGACATTTCTGTTGTTTGGATTCACGCGGGAGAAACAGCACGATCGACCGCAAACGGCGAAAAATTGAGTGAAAAGGAGCAAACAGTGAGGCGACTTGTGTGCTGCCGTGTTTCTCTAGTGTATAGGTGCTCGCCCGAGAATTCTGCACGAGGGGAGAGCGGTGGAGAAAACGTGCAATCCTATACGGAACGTAATCGCTCCCCGCACCGCTCCCATTGTGAGCCTAAGCAAACAGCATTCCATTAGCCGAAAGAAGCCCGAGAGGCATTCAAGTAGGTGCTCTCCTCTCTCTCCCTCCCCCTCTTCTTCTCTCTTCTCATCTCTCCGCTCTGCCTCCCCCTTCCTATCTCCTCTCATCTCTCCGCTCTGCCTCTCCCCTCCCTTCTCTCCCCTCCTCGCTCTCTTCGCTTCACGGACTAACAAGACATTGAAGCGGTAGAGCTTCACCGCAGAACATGGCGACGCCAGCTCCTTTGCTTCTCACGCACGTCGTCGTGCTGCTGCTGACGGTGGCAACGATTCCGACGGCGTCCGACGAATGCCTCTCGTTCCAGCTTCCGTGTCGCTGCTACCAGCTGCACAGCAAGCTGTACGTAGACTGCGCTGACATCCACTTCGCCACCGTGCCCGTGTTCCCGTCCAACACGACCATGGAGAATCTCGACATGCGGAGCACGGGTCTGAAGCTGCTGCCCGGACAAGGCTTCCACGGACCGCGCATCCGCACCCTCGACCTCTCGAGCAACCAGATCAGCGTCGTCTCGTCTCAGGCGTTCGCCGGACTCGGGAACTGCCTCGAGGAGCTCGACCTGAGTCGAAACCTCATCAGCGAGATACCGGAGGCGACGTTCGTCAACCTCAAACTGCTGAAGAAGGTGATCCTGCTCGAAAACCCGCTGGCGCGAATCACCGCCAACGTCTTCAGAGGCGTCGCGGGCAGTTTGTTAGAGTTATACCTGTCCGGCGGGCCCGGGAGCTACCTGGGGCCAGGTGTGGTGCCGACTGCCGTGCGCAACCTTGGCAATCTGCAGCTACTGAAGCTGCACTCGTGCGATATCAGCGAGCTGACGAGTCATGATCTCATTGGACTCGCTCACCTGCAGACGCTGAACATGACGGCGAACGACATCGCCGAACTACCGCGCGGCATGTTCTCGTTCGTTCCCAATCTGAGGACGTTGAACATCGGCCGGAACAAGCTGACGCTGCTGAACGCCAGCATGTTCCACGGCCTCGAGTCGTCGCTGGAGATCATGGACGTCAGCGAGAACCGAATCGCGAGGATCGCCCCGAACACGTTCGGCAGTTTCCGGAGGCTGCGTGTGCTCAACCTGAAAAGCAACCGCATCAGCTCGATAGCTGGCACCGCCTTCCTCGGACTCGCCCTCACGCTACGCCAGCTCAACCTCGACGGAAACTTTCTGCGGCAGCTACCAGGTGGCGCTCTGAACACTCTCACCGATCTGGAGGTCGTGAGTGCGAAATACAACCGCATTAAGGCGATAGCGAGGAGCGACTTGCAGGGCATATCGGAGAGCATCAAGATGATCGACCTGCGCTACAACTACGTCAGCAGCCTGCCGGCGCGGCTCTTCCACAAGTGCCGCAGCCTCGAGTGGCTCGACCTGTCCGAGAACAACATCACGGACGTGCGCGGTGAGGCGCTGCACGGGCTGAGGAACGTGCGCATGCTGTCGCTAGCGAAGAACGGCCTGCGACACATCAACGGACAGACGTTCGCTCAGCTCGCGAGCCTCAACACGCTCGACCTGTCGCACAACTACATCGGTTACGTTCCCGACGACGCGTTCGCCGGCCTCAACGACACGCTGGCGGCGCTCTACCTGCAGCACAACGCGCTCAGCTACTTCCCGCGCGTGGCGCTGCAGTCGCTCAACAATCTCGTCGAGGTGCGGCTGTCGTACAACGAGATCTCGCGCGTCGGTTCGGCCGACTTCTACGACTTCAATCCGGCGATGCGCGGCATTTACCTCGACGGCAATCGTCTGACGACGTTTCCGATCTCGACGCTGCAGCACTTTCACAACCTGCGCGTCATCAACCTTGCCAACAACGCGATCGCTGCGATCACGCGCGACGCCTACATGCTGACGGACATGCAGAGCCACGTCGATACGCTCGTGCTACAGAACAACCGCCTGACGGAGTTCCCCGCCGAGCAGCTGGCGACCGTCAAGCGTCTGCGCATGCTCAACATCAACAAGAACCGCATTAGCAGCGTCCCCTCGGACGTGCTGCGCCACCTACCGGCGCTCGAGACGCTCTACCTGAGCGGCAACAACATCACGTCGCTCGACAACACGGCGTTCGCTTGCAGCAGCGGCCGCGAGATGGCGCTGCATCACCTCGACCTGTCGCGCAACCAGATCACGGCGGTGACGGGTAACATCTTCCGGCAGCTGCGCGCGCTGCGCAGCGTCGACATGAGTCATAACAACGTCAGCGTCATCTTCGCGGCGACGTTCAGCACGCCGCTGCTGCAGTCGATCAACCTCGAGCAGAACAACATCTATAAGATCCAGGACTCGGCGTTCGAGAACCTCACGCAGCTGCGCTATCTGAACATGAAGGGAAACTTTCTGACGTTCGTCCACAAGCGCTTCTGGAACAACTGCCGCCTGCAGATACTGTTTCTCACGAACAACCGCATCAGTAGCGTCGAGGAGGGATCGCTGGACGAGCTGCGCGGACTGACGACGTTCGACATATCTCGTAATCCGATCTCGGATATCCCCGCCTCGCTCTTTAACACGATGTCACATGCGAAGCATATCTCGCTGAGTGGCTGCAATCTGACGAGAATCCACGAAGGACAGTTCGCCTCTCTTCGCAATCTACTGACGATCAATCTCAGTAATAATTCCATTGAGACCGTACACCAGAATGCATTCTACGGCGCACTGGCCATGCGTGAGCTGTACTTACAGGACAACCGATTAGCGCACCTTCCGGACAGACTGCTGCAGAGTCTGTACAGGCTGCACACGCTCAATCTGGCGGGAAATCGCATCCGGGACATCGATGCGCGCGTCTTCGGCGTTCCCATAATGCCGCTGAACACTGTCGACTTGAGCAACAATTTGCTCGCTGAGGTTCCGACGGGTCTCTTCCAGCCGCTCAAGTACAGCCTCTTCAATCTCGACCTGTCGCGCAATCAGCTGAGATCCCTGCGCTCGCGGCAGTTCGCCGAGCTGGCGATACTCGCGCGACTCGATCTGTCGAACAACGCCATCGTCAGCGTCGAGAATTCGGCGTTCGGCGGCCTCAACAACATCATCAACATTAATTTGGCGAGCAACGCCTTGCGATCGATCACGGAGACCAGCTTCGCCGGCATCGGCAGTAAGCTGTACAAGCTCGATCTCAGCAACGCGTCGCTCGCCGACGTGCCGCGACTCGCCATCCCCGAACTGCGCATCCTGCATCTGAGCAACAACCGTCTGCGTGCGCTCGCCGCTGACAGCATCGTCTGCGCGAAGTTGCGCGTTCTCTACCTGAACAGCAACAAGCTGGGCGGCGTGCCGGAGACGTGGCGCTCTCTGCCGGCGCTCACGTCGCTCATACTCGCCGACAACCCGATCGAGCGCATCACAGCGACGTCGTTCGTCGGCCTGCCTCGCCTCACGCTGGCGCACATAGAGAACCTTCCCCGCCTCGCGAGCGTCGCCACGGCGGCGCTAGACCCGCTACAGAACCTCGAGTATCTGATGATGTACAACTACGGCAGTCTGCCGCGGCTCGACGTCGCCACGCTGCTGTCAAAGCTCACCAACCTGCGGCAGGTCTACGTCGAAATCAAGGACGTGATACTCGACAGCCAGCTGCACCTGGCGTTCAAGAACAACGCCAAGCTGAACTCGCTGACGGTGTTCGGACCGCGACTGAAGTGGATCACGAAGAACGCCTTCGTCGGCTTCACGGCCGGTAGCCTGGGGATCATGAACACCAGCGTCATGTCGCTGCCAGACGACTTGTTCGCCTATCCGCAGATCAGAGGCCTGTACCCTCTTGACCTGCGCAACAACCGACTGCGTCTCATCGGCAGCGAGTTGTTCAAGGTGCCGACGATGCGCGTCGACAACCTCTATCTCGATGACAACGAGTTTCTCTGCGACTGCAGCATCACGCCGTTTCGGCTGTGGCTGGACGTGTGGCTGCGCACGCACGCGCACGCGCGCGCTAACCTTGAGAGGGTTGTTTGCAGCGAACCGGACGCGTTCAACGGTGTTCCCACGAGAAACGAGTCGATCGTCGGTCTCGACTTGACACGCATGGGCTGCGTCGCGCCGCCGCCGACGCTGCTGCCCGCGACGACGAGCACGTCGGAAGGGAGCGTCGCTGACGCTGGACGCGTGACGCAGCCAAGTGACGCGAAGGTGACGGAATCGCGAGTGACTACTATTTCATTAGCCGCGGTCGCTAGTGACGCACAATGTGCGACGACTGCGTCACTGCGTCAGACTGTTGTGTTCTTGTCGTGCGGGGCAATAGTGACACTGATATTACGACGACGCATTTGAGAGGTGTGACACTTATCTCAGCATGAACCTGAACATATAGATGTGGCTGCCCGCCAAAATATGGATGCGTGGTGTGAAATACAACGAACGCACGTTCACGCACGAACAACTAACGCGTGCTGCAACGTGAAAAAAACTATACAAAAATGGAAACTTAAAGTGGCATCTTCAGTAAAAATACAGGCTGAACTATATAACAAAAGGTATATAGTATGTAGCTCGTGTAATATGTCATATATCACGTGTGTCACCTATCACATAATTCACGTATATATTACATGTTTTACATAAACACACACACACTCACACGCACACGCACACTCACACGCACACACGCACGCAGGCACGCACACACACACACACACACATATGTATATATTTGTCACATTGGCATTATTCACATTATTCATTTATCACTTAGATTAGGTGTAAATGCGTTTAGTACATACGGTTTCTTCGTCATCAGTCATAGCAAACGGACGATTTCTCGTCTTTAACATGTTAGAACAGCTTTGCGATCTGCGACGCATTTCAGGCAATTTCTTTTCACTCGCGCATAAAGGCTTTTCCGTAAGTACAACTTGTAAAGACAAGTTTTCCTTTTTCAAAGAGACAATTGTGCAACGCGCGCGCCAGATATGCGCGGGGGTGAACACAAAGCACACCATAGTTAGTAGATTAGATGAGAAGAATCCCACGTATTCAGCACAATAAATGTTGCTCTGATGGCACCGTATGTCACGCGCTACGGGTGGTTACTGTGATATGTAGGCACCATATATATATATCAGGAGTTAAATATATATATATATATATATATATATATATATATATATATATACTATAGGTGTCTACCTTTTTAAAAGGCGTTTGTAACATCTTTAGCTATTTCTATTCATTATTGATGTTTGTGCGCCACACTTACTTACTGTCTCTTGTACATGTCCGAGAATGTCTAATAAATATCAGTCTTGCAAAACCTACCTGATATACTTTTATGATGTTTGTTTTATGGCCAAAACATGCTGAATTCCTTGTTACTTTTCTAACAGCTGTAATCGATATTTTTTTAACTAGGCATACGTGATATGAATTTAATCTTCTGAGCTTGTGTAAGTACCTCCCTAAAGTATTTCATCGGTGCCCCAAAACCCACTAAGCCTTTCTAGAGGCAGGATTTAATTAGAATCGTTATTCCATCAGCGAGGCAGAATAAAGCTAATATTTGCATCTATAACCGCGACCCCACAATATTTCTTCGCCGCACGGACTACTGGTGTAGTATTCCCACAAAGTGGTAAATCGGATGTTAAGAATCGCTCGACACTAAACAGATTGCTTTGCATTCGTGGGATAAATGCGATTTATTCTCGTTATATTCTTTTTTTCCAAATATCGCCCACTTCTGTAAATCGATGGCAGATGGAGGCATCGCAGCGTGAGTGTCCGCTCGAGGATTTCTCAGCTCGCGGCGCACGTAAGCAGGTGAATCAATTATTCAATACGATCTGAGTAAGCGAGTTTTTGCATTATCGGCATACAGCCCCCGCGCGTACGCGGAACTGCTGCCGTCCGTCTGACAGCATCCGCCAAACAGCATTACATTACACATACAACATAATTGTCGCAGTCTATCGTCACTATACCACACACAAGCGGCGGTAAAACACGGCGACGCTAGGTCACGGCTCGTCACGGCACCGCGACGGCAACGCAGCCCGCACGCACGGCAACGCGCGACGCACGTGTGGACCGTCCCCGATGTTGCACTCCACCTACATCACAACATCCGACACACGCGCACACACAGCCACGCAGCTGGCCACAGGCACGCACACATCACATCACACACACACACACACACACAGCGACACAACCGACAACACACCACCGAGTGTTGAGTCGAGTCGCGCACCCGACGGCCGAGTTTCCGAGTCCGCGTCGCGACGTGCCGAGTCCTGAAGTCCGCGTTCTGATGCGCGATCCCGAGTCCGAGTTCAGAGTCCCGCAGGGTTCCCCGCCACGCCGAGTGCGCAGGACGCCGAGACACGATCCGGGAGCCCGCCGAGGTCCGTGAGGGTCCGGCAAGTCGCAGTTTCGATTAAAAAAAAGGAAAAAATAGAAAAAAGGAAAAAAATCGGAAAAAAGGGAAAAAATCGCAACAGTGCATCGTAGACATTCGAAAGTGTATAGTCAGCCGAAAACACAGAGAGACGAGTCATACGAAACGTGTCAAAGTAACAGATCCATTTGTGTTTTACGAGAATGACACGGCTTGTTGAACCAAATGAGAGAGTGCTAGTACCTTTGAAGTGGTAGAAGAAGAGAAAGAAGTGGTAGAAAAAGCGCAAAGGAACGAAGTGACAGCAGATTCAAACCAAAGGGACAAGAATCTTAATCGAGCCATTGAAAACGTTACAAGATTAGGCCGTGTATCTAGAAAACCTAGGAGTTTTAGTTTTAAATTCTTGTAAACTGCGTGTTACAATATGTACAGTTGTGTATTATGTATGTAGTGGCCTCGAGCCGGCCTCGACCCGAGTCCTCGAGTCCGGAGGGCTCGAGTACGAGTCCGAGTCCGAGTCATTGCACTCCGAGGCCAAGACCGAGACTGAGACCAAGGAAAACGGTCTCGAGGCCAAGACCGGCCTCGAGACCTACAACACTGACACACACACGCACGCACGCACGCACGCACGCACGCACGCACGCACGCACACACACACACACACATACACACACATTGGCTCCGATGTCGTTTGCCGAACTCGAGTATAAACTTCATAATAGGCATACCTAAAATCGAACAGAACCCTATCACCATAACCCTGATTCCTAACCCCATCCCTAAGCATAATCCCATCTTACTAGACCTAACCCTAACCTTAGCTGAAATCCTTATCCTTATGTATATTTAATCTATTACAGCCGCTATGAAACTTGCATTCTAGCCGATCGTCCGCGACCATAATAAAGCAACCGATATACAACCAAATAAAGCAATACTACTACAACAAGCTAAGGCTGTTGCTGTTTCCGCCGCCGCCACCACCACCGCTACCATCACCACTATCACCACCGCCGCCGCCGCCACCGTCACCACCACCATCATCATCATCATCACCACCACCGCCACTGCCGCCGCCGTCGCCGCCGCCGCCGCCGCCGCCAACGACCCCGCCCCCGCCACTACCACCGCTACCACCGCCGCCACCACCGCCACCACCACCACCCCCTACATCACAACCACTTCCGCCAGCAACTCCGGCCACTACCGCCACCACTGACAATGATGACAACAACAACAATAATAATAATAATAATAATAATAATAATAATAATAATAATAATAATAATAATAATAATGATAGCAAGGATCCAAGCAATAGCACTAAGTGGTTGACATCAGGAATCACTTTCCTTCTTTCAAAAGGCAAGGATGCAAAAGAACCAGAGAACTATCGATCAATCACTTGCCTGCCTACCACCTACAAGATTCTCACTGCTGCAATCACCAACCGCCTCTACAATCACTTACAGAAGAGCGGCATCCTCACAGATAAGTAGAAAGGCTGTAGAAGAGCGTCTAGGTGGTGCAAAGACCAATTTCTCATCAGTAACATGATTGTGAGCATGGCAAAAAAGCTCAATAGGAATCTAGGAATGGCGTGGATTGATTATAAGACAGCCTTCGACAGTGTCCCACATTCCTGGATTCTCGCAGCCATGAGAATACTACTATACCGAGTGTCACCAACCATCATTCAGTTCATGGAAGCTACAATGAAGAAATAGAAGACTGAAATGATCCGCTTCACTCAAGGAGGCTGCCTTGAGCTCAATCAAGAGAGGAATCTTCCAGGGCGACTCGCTCTCTCCCCTGCTATTCTGCTTAGCACTAACAGCGCTTACCAACATGCTGAATAGACAGGGTCTGGGATTTACAGTCGATAAACGCAACATCATCAGCCACCTGCTCTACATGGATGACATTAAACTGTTCACCAAGAACGAATTATGAGCTGGATCAGGCCTTGGTAACAGTCAAAGCATTCATTGATGACATCGAAATGGAGTTCGGCTTGGAAAAGTGTGCAACCGCAATCTTAAAAAGTGGTAAGCTAGTAAAAAGTCGAAATATCGAGCTTGATGACAAGACAACCCTACAAAGTCTGAACCACGAGAACACCTACAAATATCATGGTGTAGACGAAAGTGATGGTATTCAGCATGCAAAGATGAAGGAGAACATTGCTAAGGAGTGCTATCGCCGAGTCCGCCTAGTTCTCAAGTCTGAGCCCTGCTCAAAAACAAGATAACAGCGATTAATAGCCTGGCACTCCCGGTCCCTGTGTACAGCTTCGGGGTGATCAACTGGTTGCGATCAGATATTGAAAGAATGGATCGCAAGACAAGAAAGCTACTAACCATGCACGGTCTCCATCACCCAAAAGCAGATGTAGAGTGACTGTACATCAGGAGGCAAAATGGTGGTCGTGGTCTCATTGAACTGATGTCTGCGTACAACACTGCCATTGTAGGTCTAGGCGACTACATCGAGCTTAAGGAAGACAAATTTACAAATCTTATCAAAATCCATTAGTCTGGAAAATCAAAGCACGCTCTCTTACGCGAGGCTAAAGAAATCAAAGCCAAATACTTGTCCTCTCAGCCCCCTAGCCAAATCTCAACAAAGCAGAGACTGAAGGCCAATATGGAAGCAGAGAAGATCGAGGTATTGAAGAACAAGCCTTTACATGGAAGATTCTACAAGAGCCTCGACAGACCATTTGTCAACAAGACTGCAAGCGTTGCCTGGCTGAGTAGTTCCGGGCTCAAGGGGGAGACAGAAAGTCTGATCATTGCAGCCCAAGACCAAGCACTTAACACCAGATACCATCAACGCAACATCCTCAAGCATCAGGTCAACAGCAAGTGCAGAATGTTCAGCAAGGCAGAGGAGACCATCCACCACATCATCGCCGGATGCACAGTGCTGGCCCCAACCGAGTACATAAATCGCCATAACAAGGTAGCCAGCTAGCTGCACTGGTCAATCTGCAGTAAACTTGGTGAGCAAGTACCTGACAAGTGGTATGAACATACTTGTTACCAGTTACCAACATCGGAGATACTACCATAATGTGGGATATGGCAGTGCAGACAGATCGCACGATACCTGCAAACCGCCCTGATATAGTGCTCCACAACAGAAAAGATGCCTGTTGTTTGACGTAGCCGTACCAGATGATACTAACATCATGGTGAAGGAAAGAGACAAACTCACCAAGTACAAAGATCTGGAGATCGAAATTAGGATGTAGAATACTAAGGCGAGAATTGTACCAGTGGTGGTTGGAGCCCTTGGCTCTATAAAAAATGATTTTGAAAAGAACTCCCTGGCCACCACACTGCCCAAGAAGTGCAGAAATTCGCACTACTGGGAACAGCACACATCCTGCAAAAAATTCTGGATTGAATCCCTATGTGCCAGGTTGGGACACGGTCAACCCAGAAGCCACCGGCTAATGCCGTGATCCACTTTGGAAATAATAATAATAATATTAATAATAATAATAATAATAATGTAATACTGCAAGATAAGCAATAACTCTACGAAAGACCACCTCGTTATCAGACGAAGCTGCGCCAGCGCGTAAATTATCGACACATTATTTGTGTAAACAGCGCATTTCTGACGCAGCCATCATGCGTGGCTCGCTAGCAGCACGACGGCCGCGTATATAACTCCCACCGCGTCCACAATCCACATGCATTACCGCAATGTTTATTTTCCTGGTTAGCCACTGTTAAGTTGGAAAACATTTTCCGCCGATGATAGAGGGTCGTTGAAAAAGGGCAGGCGTGAGATATAGCCGGTCGACGTGTTAGCGCGTTACACATGACTGCGTGAACAGTTCGGTTAAGCGTGTATCGATATCGCTCGACATAGATCAATACTCCATCACTGGATTAGAGCTGAAGCTGACAACTTCTTGGAAATTCTGCGGGAAGTAGGTGGAGAATTATTTAAGTTCCGTGCGATAGGTTTGCTCTTATTTCGACTTTTAAAATTAATGGAAGTAGGATGTCAATCAGACAAAAGAGCGTGTACGCGTGTGCGCGTGCCTGTACGCGCGCGTGGGTGTGTGCACGACTGTCTGTGTTTGTCGCATAGACTCTCGCAATCCCAATTCACGCATCGCAATTCTCGAAAGCCAAAATTCGCGCACTGTGGAAATATCGCCAGCTATTATTCAGCTGCGTTTGTTCACTTGAAGAGAATGGAGTGCTTCAATTAAGGCGTGTACCCACACTTGGAGTTTTGAAAATACATGCTCACACTGCAACGCACGCACGCACGCACGCACGCACGCACGCACGCACGCACGCACGCACGCACGCACACACACTCATAATTATTAATTCATCCACGAAATCGCTTTTCAAATGCAAGGTATTAGAATTTAGTTTATTATAATTTGAGGTATAATATATACATCCCCGTTATATAGGCAAATTCAATATTCTTTGCTAGGCCTCAATGAAGTTATAAATGATCTAACGGCTAACTTCAAAACAGGTACGATAACAGTAATAGTAAAAACAGCCACGCCACCAAAACGACGGCCAGGCTCGTCACTCATAATCGTCACACAAATGTAATATTAACGATGTCCCCAACCCGCATCGCTAAATTAATATAGGTCTACTACATTCTCCCGAAAAACTTCTGTAAAGAAAACAGAGAATCCGCGTTGTTGCAGCCAGCCGCTATTCCTAATTCATTATTAATTAGTTAATTAATATTAATAATAACCATCTAACAAACGATTAGTCGTGGCGGCTATATGCTGAGCGTTAAAAATAGCCGGACCGAATATGTCGTCGAATATTTCGTCGAGTACACAAACCGTGTGTTTATTCGTTTTAACAATTATCATCTGTGAACATTTCGTATTAGTCTCTGATGCCGGACCCACGCTTCCGTCGCTACCTTGTAGAAGAGCAGTCACACTCGAGTCTGTTAGACAATTGTACCTTTGTAACCAAGCGTTGCTAACGGATCCCCCCCCCCCCAGACACACACGCGCGCGCATCAAACATTGCGAATAACTCGCGGGTTATTAAAAACGCAGAGGACCTCAGAGTCGTTGACCTGAAACTGCAGATTTCCATTGATTAATTCTTGGAACGGATTCAGAGACAAGTTGTGAGCGCATGAACCTTGCCTGCCTACTCGTACCCACCACTTAAATCTCGATTATCAATCTCGAACTCTCATTCTCAATTAATATCCGAAAGACTAACGCTTATGAAATGCAGGACTTGTCATTTTTCGGCGTATTTTTCATTGTTATGACTTGATAAATTGTTGAAGCACGAAAGGCCGTAATTCTTCGTCAAATTTCGAAATCCTACAGATGAACATGTCTACCCTTTGCACGACCATGCCAAGGGAGCAAAATGACCCATTGCATGACAATGTCTACCCTGCATCGCAAAGCTGTACTAGCGCTCGGGAATCGGCTTTCGTGCGAAGCTAGCATGTAACGGATCAGTAAAAAGGGGAAGGACCAACCAAAATGTTCATCTCGTTAGAAGAAGCATTTACGTGTATTGAATTATAATTATAAATAACATTCTCTCATCTGCACTGCTTCATGCATTCTGGCATTCAGAATTTATTGTACCGTAAGTCACTGTCCGCAATAGCAGATGTATTCAAAAACCAAGATAGAAAATCATCAGGCTTTCCTACAAGACAATGACCAACTGGGACTAGTCATAAATAAATATCACACAATTGATTTCATTTTCCTTATGAATAGATTTAAGATTCCTATATGTGAACAAACGTGCGTCCAGAGAGAGGAGCACAGAGGATCCACAGAAAAGCTGTGCCACACAATATTGTATCATGACGATGTATCTCTGGACGTCAGATGTCAGATGTAACCACGCACATAAGAATATAATCTGACGATCTTCAAAACTATATTCCTATTTGCATCGAGAAAATGCAAATGCAGTTGCAGTTGCATCACGCAACCCAAAAATAATCAAAGGATGAAGATCCTACCGATTGGAACATTACATGGAGTGACTGTGTTCACAAAAAAATTCCCGGGCCATGTTACGCATGCCACCATTGGTATGCGCATCGCATGCTCAGTGACTATGCATCAAAAAGAACACGTTACTAGAATGGCCAAACTTGGTTCGCTATCCCAGTAAATGCAATATGTAAGGGTTGCCATGACCACACATTTAATAAGATTTATTCGCTGTATTGTTGGATTGTTAGATGCTTCATTTTTGATCAATAACAAGAATGGTGTTCAGATTGATCTTACGGTTAGAGAATATATAGTATCAAATGTGTAGCACATTGGTCCATAACCTCCGATGTGAAAGTTAGGAAGAGCTATAGGAAGAAAGGGCCATGGAAACAGACACCTATAGGAAAAGTAGGCTATCGGAAGAGACGATTATGGGAAGAGAGGAGTACAAGAAGAAAGAAGTATGGGAAGACAGGGCTATGGAAAAAGTGGAAATTGAATTTGTATTTTTGTTAAATAAAACGTAGCGGCAATTTCATCCATCGTTTAACATGAATAACAGGAACATACGCTCTTCAGACAATCGTCACTCATATACATATTCATATATACATAATCAAAATTTGAGAAGAAAATCTCATCGTCGGGTTCAGTTCTCACCGCGAGGACAATTTATACGCATCTTTACAACTTGCATCGAGTCATATCTACATACGTATAACTTGGCAATAACTGGCTACCGCTGAACATCTCTGACACTGATGTGTGACACAGCGGGCAGTCACTGTCAGAGTTTGGCAGTCACTGGTATTCCTTCAACATCTGCTCATAGCCACAGTTCACCTGCATCTGATCACTAGCACAGGGCGGCACCTAGCGTGACACTAGAGAGAGTACAAACGCCTTGCCACACACTACTTATGGGCAGGTTTCTCTTTCGTCTTACTGCTGACCTGACGGACTTATAACCGGATCTCACGACTAGATCTCTTAGTCTTAGCTGCACACGGCGTCACAGTGGCACAGGCCACCCATAGATACATCATGTCATCCACGGATACATCATGTCATCCACGGATACATCATGTCATCCACGGATACATCATGTCATCCACGGATACATCATGTCATCCACGGATACATCGTGATGCGGGGACACACGATGCGTGGCCGGCCACACGCGGATGGCAGGTTGCTGTTTAGCGAGTGGTGTCCATGGTTACGACGCTTAGTAGTCGTGCGATTGTATGCAGGCGATCAGGTCCGTGTAGGGCGTATCCGGCTGAATAGCTGCCTGCATAGTTAGCAAGAAGGACCTCTTCTGTGCCTCCTCTTTCAGCTGTAGATAAGGGGAAGTGTACAAAATTATCTTACACGGCTGCCCCTTGTGCAAATGTACACACTGCTAATATAAGAGCCTGTCTGCTGGACTACAACAATACGCGTGCATTTCGGAAATTTTACCTCTCAATATGGCCATCAAGAAATCTTCACGTTGCGTTTAATATATAATAACTACTAAATCTCATAAAAAATGTAGTGCTTTAAAAGCATAATATTCTCATGACGTTAACCATTTCTATCGCTATTGCTAGCAGGCTTCTCCCTACGTTGTGCAAACTGGGCGCGCCCGCCCCGTTTGGGAAACCCCCCCCCCCCCGTTTCAATGGTTGCACCACGTTTAAATTATTTCCGCCACAATTTAAAAAAAATTGACCCACTGGCAGCAAGAACAAGTCCGCACCTGCAGCTACAGCACACTCGCATCTATTGACTATATGTAACAATGTTATATATAGTTGTTATAGTAGTTATATAGTTATAGTTATATAGTTATATAGTTATATAGTTATAGTTGTTATAGTAGCTATAGTTGTTATAGTAGTTATATATAACTATATATAATGTTGTTATATATAGTCAATAGATGCGTGTGTGTTGTAGCTGCAGGTGCGGACTTGTTCTTGCTGCCAGTGATTCGACCAGGCCCCCAGAGTCCTGCATATACTCTCCGCATATACTCTCTTGGGGGGAGGGGGAGGGGGAGGGGAAACTAGGGGTGGTCTGGGGGCCTGGTCGAATCACTGGCAGCAAGAACAAGTCCGCACCTGCAGCTACAACACACACGCATCTATTGACTTATATCTCCCACATATACTCTCCGCATATACTCTGCATATATCTCCCACATATACTCTCCGCATATACTCTGCATATACGCTCCATATATCTCCTGCATAACTCCGCATATTCTCTGCATATACTCTCCACATATACTCTCCTCATATACTCTCCATATATCTCCCGCATAACTCTCTGCATATACTCTGCATATATGGAGAGATGCTGACCTGACTGCGAAAGTCCAACGCTGCCACACAGAAGAATCGTCTGTCCACCATGTCCATTAATCCCATCCTGCTCTGCACATGTGGGAAGCTGCGAGCACAGAGGTCAGGAAGCAAACGATAGCGATCCACGCTGATGGCCGAAGCCATGGCGATCGCGGTTACTCTATTCGGAACTACATGTTCACTCAAGAAATTAACTCCTAACAACTCGTAAACAAGCCTGAAGTTTAATTACTCATTCTCATTGAGTAAGTATTATGAAGAGTTTTTAAATGAAAACTACCTCAGATCAATCTCCGTCTACATTCTTGATTCTATAGCTAGATGAATTAATTGAATTAAATGAATTAAATTGAGTATAATTATAGCAAAACTAACATGATCATTATTATGTCTTCGTGATATACATGTTACCTTTAGAAATTTATGTACCTATTATTATATGTTTATCTATATTTCATTAAACAATAAAGAATAACAGAATACTAAAACATCAGGAAGATTCCAAATACACACATACAAAAGGATACAGAGCCCTGAGCCACCGATTTGGTGAAGCACTGATGAAGAAACATGTCAAGCTCCACGTCGCCATGGCGATGGGTGTCCGCTGTGTGAAGTTAGAAAGGGAGAGCATGACCCAGTCCTTGACAAGGTCATTTTGACCCTTCTGAATCAAGTTGTTAAATACCTGTAATAAAAGATGCAAGTTTTAGGTTTACGATACATTAGGTTTTTTATGCGTTTCACTGACTAATTGCATGCATGGCTTCTTATCAATTAAAAATCACTTACACTTAAAAACAGTCAGCTAGTATACTGATCTGTGTTGTGACATCAACAACACATGCACACAACCGTCACGCACGCGGCCAGACAACCACTCACACACATGCCTGCATACACACATAAGAATGTGAGCACACACATGCCTGCATACACACATAAGAATGCGAGCACACACATGCCTGCGTACGCACATAAGAATGCGAACACACACATAACTGCGTACGTACATAGGAATGATCGTACGCACATAAGAATGCGAGCACACACATGCCTGCATACACACATAAGAATGTGAGTACACACACGTGCCTGCGTACACACATAAGAATGCGAGCACACACATGCCTGCGTACATACATAAGAATGTGAACACACACATGCCTGCGTACACACATAAGAATGTGATCACACACATGCCTGCATACGCACATAAGAATGTGAACACACACATGCCTGCATACACACATAAGAATGCGAGCACACACATGCCTGCGTACACACATAAGAATGTGAGTACATACACGCCTGCGTACGCACATAAGAATGCGAGCACACACATGCCTGCATACACACATAAGAATGTGAACACACACATGACTGCGTACGCACATAAGAATGCGAGCACACACATGACTGCGTACGCACATAAGAATGCGAGCACACACATGCCTGCATACGCACATAAGAATGTGAACACACACATGACTACGTACGCACATAAGAATGTGAGCACACACACGCCTGCGTACGCACATAAGAATGTGAGCACACACACGCCTGCGTACGCACATAAGAATGCGAGCACACACACACCTTGAACAAGACTCCAACGATGAGCTGCGGATGAGGCTGCTGACTTGACAAAAACTCTCCTATCACTTTGTTCATTGCATCCTGGGTAGGGAAGAAATCGGCCAGAAAATGTGGCAATATCTTGCTGACTACTTCAGCCTCAAATGGATAGCCCTTTCTGATTCTGCAAGACATGTAAAAGGTGTTAATGACACATTTCTTTTGAAGTGAACACTATTTGAATAATAAAATTTATTTAATTCAGAGCGCAATTTTCACAACACAATGTATTAACTATACCTGGCAATGAACAAAGACGGATGCATATGTATTTATATAAATAAGTCAAAATACATTTCAAGCTCCATAAAATAAGACAAATAAATATGAGAGGTCATTAGTGTAAATTTATACCTCAATGGGACTAACATATCCATCCCTAAAAGTTTCATGACATGAAATCTGCCTTTTCAACCACTATAACTTAGGGATTCTTTAGAACCTCTGAAGTTCTCTTAGTATAAAATTTATTATATATAATAATATATTAATAAAAATAATATATAATAATTAATATATCTATAAATAAATATAGTTTGTGATATTATTTTTCTAATCACACCCGCACTAAAAACAATCAATCTACTGCCACTCCTGCCATAAAGCCAGACGACGGCTACGAAATGCACTCACCATAGAATGATCTTAAAAAAGAGATACTAAATGAATTTTTTTTTTAATGATCCTACTCTTTCTTTAAAATGGAACCATCTTAAAACAAGGTTGGTGTCGGACAGACAGACAGACAGACAGACAGGGTGATTCCAGTATACCCCTCCCCCCTAACTTCGTTGGCGGGCGTATAAAAAACTGCACAAATGGTAGTGAAGTGGTAGAAGGCAGTAACCTGTCGAACAGCATCGTGAGTCGTTCCATGGCCACGATGAGGTGCTCCGGATCTCTGATCTCAAGCACCGGTGACGCGGGGTCCATGTCACTGCTGTCCGTACTGTACGAGTCCAGCACCACGCGACCCTCAGAGTACATACAGCTGAGTAGCAGCCCCAGGCCAGCTAGAACCCGCACTGGACTGTGCGCCTTCAGCCTAAACACACAGCATGCTACAATCAGACATTAGCACCCCACCCATCAGCACGCAATCACTACCATGGCCACAAAAGTTACTAAGAGTATGTGGAATGGTAACAGATAGGAGCAGTATGCACATGAAGTAACACATTCTGCATCTAGAAACACCCGCAGCCTAAACGTATCAGAGAGGGTGATTTGTACGTTTAATGCTATTTGCAGCAGAATGACATATACAGGAGCACGATACATACAGCAAATGTGTAAACTTGGTGTGTATACGTCTGGTAACATTACCAAGGTAGTCACTAGTGAACACACACGACATATCACAAATACTTTCTGTTTGCCAATCGATGGCTAGCATCACCACCAGGTGGCAGCACGTACCCACCCACCGATCAACAACCGGCCTCACCACCAGGTCGCACCACGTGTCCACACTCACCGATCGACGGCGAGTTTGACCACCAGGTCGCGCTCGTGTGTGCCGACGGCACCGGTCAGGGCGAGACGCTCGAGTCCGTGGAAGATGGCGAGGTAGACGGCGAGCGGGGTGCGGTCCTCGCTCGCCGACGCGACGCTCACGCACAGCTGCAGCATGCGCGAGCTGAAGTCCGTCTCACGCAGGTCCTCCTGGTAGTTCTCGAGGATGTAGAAGACGGCCGCCCACATGACGAGCACGTACTTCTCGCCATAGACCGCACCCCTGCAACGCACATGCGAAAACCGAGTTTATACTTAAGATGCTAAGGTACAGGTACAGGTACAGATAAGGTACAGGTAAGGTAAGGTGCAGGTGAGGTACAGGTAAGGTAAGGTACAGGTAATGTACAGGTAAGGTAAGGTAAGGTAAGGTGCAGGTGAGGTACAGGTAAGGTAAGGTGCAGGTGAGGTACAGGTGAGGTACAGGTGAGGTACAGGTAAGGTACAGGTAAGGTAAGGTAAGGTAAGGTAAGGTGCAGGTGAGATACAGGTAAGGTAAGGTAAGGTACAGGTAAGGTAAGGTAAGGCAAGGTGCAGGTGAGGTAAGGCACAGGTACAGGTACAGGTAAGTACGTACGTTGTGAGGCAGGTGAGTTGCTTCTGCAGACTCTCGGTCACCGCCGGCATCACGGTCGCTGAGAAGTCGGCCTGGTTCGACTCGAGTATGTAGAGCACGCCGTGGTAGGCTGCGACGCGCGTCGGCATGTGAGTGCTGCGCATAGACTGCTCCAGCAGCTTACTAACGCGCTCCTGCAGCGCCGAGTCCTGTACGTGAGACACACACAAACACGTTAGCTAGTCTTAGTTACTTGGCAGGTGTGTTTTTCGAATTACAGAACACATATATAGACAATGGTATAGAAAGACCATGTTGAGAGCTTATCACCTTCTGACGTGCAAATGTGACATTCACAGCACATTCCTTGTTGGAAGTATATACATGGATATATATTAACTTCCTGTTAAACGGCCACTCGCGTGGCAGGAGTGGCAACAATTCTCCAGGCAGTTTTTACATCAAGATTATTTTCTACTCATAATGGTCCAAAATGGTAGTAAAATGTGAGTGAATCGTAATGGCACAATCACAGGCTAAAAAATCGTACAAATTCCACCGAAATCGAAAGGATTTGCAGCTCTGTAGTAATAGTTAGAAAACAAATAGCTGAGGAGGCAGCAGTATAGCATATAGCAGTAGACGAGAATACAGCGACGTACCAGTCCAATGACGCTGATTGCCTTGCAGATTCCGACTAGTAGGTACTGCACTAGGATCTCATCCTCACCCGGGTGCGTCTTATGCAAGTCGAGAAACACCTCCAACATCCACTCAAACTGTGACTGCTCCGTGAAGATGTCGGAGAGTACCACCACCTGCCAATACACCGCACAACGTCGACTCAACACAACTGCAGGGATCGATATACTAACAATCTTTGATGCACAGCATTAAAGTTAATAACAAGAGCCGCAGAGCGTCTGGGCTCATCTGAGGTCTGTTGCTACGATT